GGTTTAGGGTTTAGGGCTGGGGGGTGTTGAAGGATTCTGGTTGTGAAGCAGCTCCCTAACAAAAGGGGCGGTGATACTTTAAGGGTTCTAAAGGCTTCTGTAGGGTTTGGGTGTTTGTTTGTTGATCGTTTAGGGGTTGCAGGGCTCTTGGTATCCGGGTTCTCTAGACGCCCGAAAGCTTCAGCCTTAACCCCTATAAACCCTAAACCGCAAGCCCTCCGCATCCGAATTGCACCCGTAGTCGGCAGGCCGCAGAGCGAAAGTACGCGCAGAATCCGAAGTTGGCCAAGGCCCTGAGAAGACGGCTTCCTTCTGTTGTCTACCCATAGGCCCCATAGTAGTTCCTTTTTGTGGCTCATATTTAGGATCCTATTAGGTACTCCCACAAAGGAACTACTATGGGGCCTATGGGTAGGGTTCAGGGTTTAGGTGTAGTTTAGAGTTTTAGAAGTTAAGGGGTGTCGGGTTCAGTGTTTTTAGGGCATGGGGGCTTCGTGGTTAGAGTTTGGGGGTTGAGAGATTGTGTTGCTTAAGTCTGGGCGCATGAGGAGGTATGCTTGACCGTTTAAGCGAGGCACGGGCTGGTCCGAGTCGTACCGTCGTTCTTTTCCACTGGTGTTGCTACCTTTGCCTTCCTTTTGGTGTAGCTGGGCATCAGAGGCAGAAGTAGTTCGTTCCACTACAGCAACGAGGACTGTCGTATGGTTAGGTTTGTATTAATACGGATCCGCCTGCACACATGTCCAACCATGCCATAGTGGCAGGCGCCGTTTAGAATAGCCCTAAACCCCTAAAGCCCTAAAGCCCCTAAACCCTAAACCCTAAACCCTAAACGCTAAACCCCTAAACCCCTAAAGCCCTAAAGCCCCTAAACCCTGAACCCTAAACCGCTTTTGAAGCAAGCGGACAGGGAGGCCGTGAGACGGCGCGGGCTTTCGGCAGCCTGGCTCATCTAAAGCCGTGGGACCCTGCAAGCTACAAAACCTTAGGGGTACTTAGAAATATTTTTAAATCTTTGGTTGCTATAAACCTTAAGAGGCAGCTGAAATGAAAATTTTTGCTAGGGGTCTAAGTTCAGTATAGAAACCCCAAAGCTCCAAAGCCAAAGAACATCTGTCGAAGCAACCCTAAACCGTGGTATATCGAGACCCTACGCACCCCAATGGGGCCCTGAGCCCCGAATTTTGCGAACATCCAAGATTCTAAACCCTAAACCCTAAACCCTAAACCCTAAGTCCATGCCGTACACCCAAAAACCTGGTTAACTTAGCGATCGAGATCCTCAATCAATATCTGCGGTCAGGCGCTCTTGGCCACGAAGGGCGAGGCTCTGGCGTTCGGTGGAGGGTCAAGTTTCGGTACAATGTAGGGTTTAGGGTTTAGGGTTGAGGGTTTAGGGTTGAGCTGTTAGGGGGCTGCTCAGAAAATTAGGGTTCGGGCGTCAGGCTCTAGTCTCTAAGGGATCAGGGTGCGATGTGGATGTTCTTGCATTGCTGTCCCCTCGTAGGCCAAAACAACCGTGGTATATTATAGGGGCCTGAAGAATTAGTACCCTAAGCCCGAAACCCTAAAGCCTTGTCACGACGACCTGTCACAAGCAACAGGGCGGCACAAAAGGCCGTGCCGCAGCAGAGTATACTGGCCGTAAGAAGTAGAAAAGGGTTTTTGGGTGATTGTTTTGGTATAGTTTAATACCCAGGAACTTCAAAGACTTGCATTGTGGGTAATTTTTCAGGATATTTCAGCATCCTATATTCTGGATACTACATACCCTGGGGGACATACCAAGTCGTGCAGTACTGCATGCCGAAACGGCTTGTTGCAACATACAGTGGCCTGTCTCTAGCAGCCCGTTCAGAAAGGCTGAGCACCCTTCCTCGCACAATGTGAGCACGCACTTGACTCGATGGAAAACCCAGAGCCAGACTCTAACGGGGTAGTTCTCTAAATTAGGGTCCGTGTTTAGGTCCCCAATATAGTATGGCACCCTTATAAAAAGGACCCAAAAAGGGACCCTTAATTATAAAACTACCCAGAGACAGCAGCAGAAGCTCTGAATCGAAGGAAATGACGTTTACCCCTTCTGCTGGTTTCTGGGGCGTCGACGCCTGGGGCTGCGGTGAATCTTTCCTCTGATTTTAGGGGTCGGGGTTCAGGGCGTACAGTCATGCTTAAAGGATCATGGGACTTAGTAAGTAGGATTATAACTAAGGAAACTATACTTATAACCCCAATTAGGGGACTTACAACCTTACTTACTAAGTCCCAGGATCCTCCAAGTGG